AAAGTGTTATTAACAATCTCGAAGGCTAATACAATACAAGTTACTGAGAATGTTCACTAATTGTACAACATCTTGCAGTCCAGCTCTAAAAATGCTCCGCTACATTTCAGTGCTGACTTTATCAGAGATAAAAAGAAGACATAACGGTTATTTAGTTTGGCGCTTATCATTTTGATGTCGATATGACATTCTCAACGAATTTGCGACACCGTATGACCGTTCGCAGCAGCTAGCAGCCACATAATCATAATAGTAAGAAATTAATAAAACTACGATACTCTTCTCGATTATGTCATCTCGCTCTGAACTGTTGACTGAACTGAACATCTGTTTGAATTTATTGTTTCGATCTAGTGTTTTTGCTTTTTCGCGTCAAATTGTGTTCAGAGACGGAGAAATGCGAAGATGTCCACGAGCTCCAGATAGATATCGATCGATGAGGCGTTTCTACTCAATTGCGCCTGACCATGACACAATGGATCGATACGTATCTAATGCTCGTAGCGGACGTTGCTACTTTGCGATTCTCCAGCTCTGAGATGTACATGACAGCTTTGAGATCTTTATTTCGATGAATTTTCAGGGTAAACATTTCAATATGACTTACCTTTACACAATGATTGTTGAATGCATCTGCTGTATGGGTATGATCACAAATCCAACTCTGCTATTTGTAGTTATCAGATGTCCTTTGAATGTGCCCTTTATAGTAAAACTCTATTTTGGGTTAATTTCTGTTCAGAATTTCATAATGGTCACTTGTTATCTATTTCTAGCACCGGTAAGTTTTCAGGCTTCCTCAGATTAGTCTGAAAATCATTTTATTCCTGTTTATAGTCAACGTGTCTCAGGAATTGGATGGCTTTAGTATCACAAATCTCGACGGGGCATTGTGTGCTAGGGAACTCAATGACCAATTCCGATCGATGCCGCTTAATACTACCGAGGAAAGACGAGTTTGGTGTCGTTACAGAGGCTGGAATTATTTGAATTAGAGCACGTTTGTTGAAAACTGAGCCGATACACGCTAGTAGCCAGCAGTAGCCACATAGCTCTGCAATGGTACAACTCTCGTCCAAAGCTTATGAAGTGGTCATAACCTCTTTCGCCCTCGTGAATGATTTGTTTGGAGAAGCTTTATATTCTAGATTTCCGCGGATTTTTCAGTTTTGTTTTTCGCCCCAGATGAGCTGTCCTGCAAGAATATTTTTCCCTTCTTTCCCAATAGAGAAAACATATCGAAACGAGCTTCTAGATTGGGCTAGCTTATGTAGGAGTTGCTTCATTACCGATGTTTTTTTTTTTGCACAGATGTGAAAACAAAAAAGCAAAAAAGTAAATTTCAATAAATGAATTAATAAAATCGGATGAATAAACAAAGAAATCCTGCAGTTTTCTGAACTGATATTATCATTTTAAGAGGATACTAGTGCATAATGGCTCCTACGTGTTCCTTACAACTGGTCGAGGTTCCGAATGGTCTGCAGCACCAGCTCTGATCCTAGTTTATAATGCAACACTCATATCGACATTGGTATATAGTACGAACAGCTTTATTTATAGATTTATTCAGTTATGCAGGTAAGACTTCAACTGAAATTGGCCAAATAGTATAAAAAGTACCTATGTAACGGCTCAGCGCACAGTTGGTCCCATTATTGGATCTCTGCAGGAAACCTCAGGCTTGGTTGCGCGTTTGCACTCATCATGACAAAACGGATTTCATACTGGTCCCTGAATGGGGTCTGGTATCTTTTCCCCGAACGGCGTGTTACGCTCGCCGCACTCGATTGCGCACTATGAAGGGAAAGGTTTGAGTGTCCAGTGGAAGAATATGGCAGAAGGAACCACTGCCGCTGGCCGTGTGAGTTCGGGAAGAAGTTCCGCCATCCTCGTGAATGTGCCCACGGGGTGGCCGGTGGAGCAAAGGGGGAGGGTTCCTGTATCACACTTCCACGTTGATATCCCTCCAGTGTCGTCATGCGGTACTAGTCCAATGTAAAACGTGGCGATTCCAGTTTGTCGTGACAGGAATCTCTTCGACTTCGCAATACAGTAAAGGGGAAAATTCTAGGAGTTGCAAAATAGTCTAAGGTGAAAATGAAACTAGAATCGTTGCTAAGTGGACCTATAGAATGGCAAATTCCCAGAGCTAGTGGGTGTTTTCCGAAATTATAGCGAGATGACCTTTGACCGTAACCGCGTCGAGTAACTCTGGAGTAGTAGCTCTGGAATGCCAGATACACTACTTATTTATTTTGAGGTGCGGAGAAGGCAGGGCAGGCGCGAGTTTTTTGTAGAGAGCTTCTCAAGCGTCTAGGGGCTAAGTACTGTTGAACTGCACACTCGTTGACTTCGTGGCACAACATTAGGGCCTCAGCTGGTAGGATCCTGACGCGAATACCGAGCGAATGATCTTCGAGTGTGTTTGGCTGCGGCTCCTTCCCTATATTTACCTTGTAAAGTGTGTAAACTCTTACTAAAATGTAATTTGTGGTGACTGATCATTCATGTCTTTCAGGCCTCACCTTTTCTTCATCTATACATCATTTAAATGTTTGGCGGTATATACAGTCATTAATGTTGCTCTTATTTCGAACTGGGTCCTTATGGTCTACTTCACTGGATGGCCAAAACCACCATTTACAGCACATCTGAAGGAGCTTTTGATGACTGACTATGACTTTAACCTTGGCAACCGGGCCTTTGTTGGGTTCTCACTCGATGTAAGTTTTTCTTACGCAAAAACGTTCTCGAATAGGCCTGACAAAGGCAACAGAATGATAGCCTAACATAGATCTTGATATTGGATTCTGTAAAGTATCTGCCGAAAAATTTATGACGGTCCGGATTTCTCTCAGAATTTTCTGGAAGCTTCCATGCGGTTTCTAGGTAAGGATGCTACCCCGCGTATACGCATGATATATCCGACTGTCTCTTCCTTATCTATTTGCCCATAAAATGACTGTTCACCCATATTCAGCGCCTACTTCTTTACACTTCTACAACCGTTGGGCCCTCAAGCCCCTACTAAGCGGTTCTGTGCACACCTCCTTCGAATCTTTCACAGCCTGGGACAAAAAGGTCGAAGATGAACCTCGATCCGGTGGACTGATTGCGATACCATGAAATGCCCTGGCTGTCATGCCGCATACAGGTCCTCTAATAGTATTTTTGTGCTAGCTTCTAGAAAAGACCGGTATAAATTTGGGCTGCCGTAAAATTTTCGGCAGATTTTTTCCGCTCTACCTAATATAGATAGTCCATAGTTACCACTTGGAACACAGTAGGCTTTCTGAGCTCCCACATATGTCAGGAGACGCCGTTGCGACCAATGCGCGCGGTGACCTAGTTCCGCGAGCGGTTGCCGCGATGGCGCTTCCTTACCCATACATTTCACAACAACTTGTTTGTTTGAGAAATATTTAAAAGTTGTTCGCGTTTTTTGCCATTTTTAGAATAAAAAATATCTGAGAAAATGTTTCCAGATGTTACCTAAAGACGAATTTGTTATGCTAGTGGAGGCGCTTTCGCTACTTATTGTACTGGTCTGTATAGCATTTTCATGTGCTCTTCGTGTACATTTTTATTTGAAGACCAACGCTCTCAGTGCTCAGACCAAAAGAATGCAAAAGACGTTATTCGTCGTCTTACTCATCCAGGTGGGCAAAAATTTGTAAATGTTTATCCTCTTGTAAAGATATTTATTACAAAAAATCTAGAATCTGACAGTTGGGGGACGAATATCAAAAAGCTGAAGTCAGCACTTCTAAATCCAACAGTTTCAGACGGCATGTCCTGTCATTCTTCTACATATACCATTGTTCACAATATATTTATTACTGTTTACTGGCTGCAATACACCTTGGCCATTGAACTTTTGTGGTGGAATTCTCATGTCGGCATATCCGTTCTTTTCACCGATCATCGTCATGCTCTATATGAAAGATTATCGACGTTTCATTTTTCGGTTGGGTGCCTATGATAGGCGACGTCCATCTGGAACAACAATGTTTATTACTACGGCTGGAAGACCATCCGCTTCATTGAAGTTCTAGTGAAAGGTTTGGTTCAGTACTATGATCTGAAAAGCAAGCCTTAGATGTACCTAAAATTTAACATTAAAATTTGAGTTACTAACGAATTCTTATCAATCCTCTACTTAGGTACGGCGAGCTGCCCTCCAGTTGAAGTTATTACTTCTCATAGTCGCTACGAGTACACCGAACGGATCACCTGAATCAACAGAAAAGAAAAAATTCCGTACTTTTCTTCACTGAATAGCCCAATCCTCCTGTGCAAATACGCCTCTTTGATCTGACATATCTGGCATACGCTTTTACATTCTACTCGCCTAATACAGTTTTTACCTTTGGAAAATTCAAATAAATTTTCCACTTTTTTCACGAAGAGGTAAACATTGTGCAATCAGTGGGCTAGATAAATCGTTTTACATCTTGTACAGAGCTTATTGTTCACAATGAAAAAGTTTGGGTGTAGTAAACGTGCAGCGTTGCCATGGCAAAAGGTGTTCGAGAAGGGGCGTGGCATCAGTTTGAAATGGGCGGAACAGCTGCAGAGTACATTAAAGGAGAAGAGACAAGAACAAGTAACGGGAGCAAACATGGTGGAATGTTGGTAGTGATGTGAAGATAACATGTGAAAACACGTCCGAACACTCTATATTCCCAGTTTCTCAGGTATAAATAGCGCCAGCAGTCTTTTCCAAACGCTCTTACGCTTTTTCGTTCATAACTTTTTCTTAGTGGAGTAAATCGCGCGAAATTTTAATATGTTCAACTAAAGCGTATTTCTCACTATCCAACACTCTTTGACTGCAAAGCAGCAATATCCACAAGGAGAAGAGCAAGGTGTTTGTTGCGGTAGCAGATCTCGCTAAAAGCAAAGTAAGTGACGTCTGTAGTTATTCGCACTTTAGGCGCGTTTTTCTTCTCTGCTTTGCTTGGCATTAGCTCTCGTACCCTTACTTAGACATGGCAAAAAGGAAAGAAATCCCAGAAAGACCATCATTCGCAGTTCCAGTTGATTAGGAGTTCAAGCCCTCTGGGTTATCTGGAACACGATCAGATTGCAGGTTAATAGTGGTAAATATTTACAATACACTCATGCTACACATATTGAAATTTCGCATGATTAGATCCAGTAGGAAAGGAGTTACGACTGAAAAGTACAACTGAAGTAAAATTCGACCGAAGACTTTTGAACGCTGCTGTATGTCCCGAAACTGGGCGGGGACGTTTAATCCAGAAGTAATATCGCTCAAATACAGAACATTCTGGGGTGATCGTCCCTAAGACATTCCATACACTGTGCAGATTCTTGAAGGCGCAGTTCACGTTACAAATCGGTTCTGAAATTTCTCTCTAGATGAACCTATGCCCCCCACCCCCCTAAGAATGTCTAAAGGGCGCCGGAAAACCATAAAGATGGAATGTGATTAGGGCGTCAAATCCGACGTACACTCCCGACACGGACGAGTTGTAAAGCGTTGCACAAGCTGTAGAGGTTGCACCATTCGCACTAGGACCCACATCACACACGCAGGCAGCTTACTGCAGCCAGCTGTGTGCAATGGCACTTGCGTTCGAATAGCTCATCACTCATAACACTCCTTCCCCATGCAGCTTTTTTGTAATCCTCTTGTCCAATCCCTAATTTTACTTCTTTTTTAGAGCCTAGTATTTGTCTAAATACGTTGGTTTTCGCGTTTTCTTTTCCACTTTTGCGCCACTCGTAACTATCATTTCCATTACTCGTCTAAAACTAGATAGCTCAAGATTTTCGTGTTCGTGAACTGTGCTTCAAGAGTCATTTGAATGATCGTTTTTATCCTTAGTACTTCAAACCAACCAGCGTCTAAAAATTTTTCTCTGTATCTACATTGTATTACATTTGGAAAGCCAGCTCGNCCTTATACTTCAAACCAACCAGCGTCCAAAAATTTTTTCTGTATCTACATTGTATTACATTTGGAAAGCCAGCTCGTTTTGTAGGATTATAGGCTGTTTTTCAACTATTACTTGCTAATCTTTTCGGGAAATCAAGAATGTTCAGAAGCGCCCTCTGTGCCCACTGTTCCACTTTGCACTTCCCAGTAAGTGTGACGTTGAATTAGTCATACATCCGCCATCTTATAGTACCACAAATTGAGACGATCGACGTCACAGATCCTGAGCAAAGAATCATTCATGCTGGTCTGATTAATTTTTCTCAGGCGCATGAGTTTTCACACGGGACGCATCAAAAAACACCTCATTAGAGTGGTCGAGATGTGATTTCCTGAAATTCGGGGCTAAAAACCATACCGTTTTTGAACCCACCTGATGGAAAGCTGATAAGAACGATTTTCAAGGCTCAACGAGCGCTCATTGTTCATGCGAATTCGTATTTGCAACCCTTTCATCCCTTCTTGAAGGTTTCACGATTGAAATGGCTTCCGATATTTTCCGCTATAATGAATCTATTGTCGCCAAGAATAGTACATGGGTCGTTATGGGGCGGAAAGACGGGCCAGGCAGGCCGTAATAAGGGCTCCAAACCCGGTTTGGCCAACACAGACACTCAAAGTGACCGTGTTATGCCGGTCTTATTATAAATGCACTATCCACAGAATGGGGCGAACAATACGCTCAAATGAGAGACACCCAGATGGTCATCTCGCACAACCCATTTGCTGCCACTTTTTTTTCGAGTCTCATATTTTGAAAATCCAATATTTTTCGTGCTTTCTTCTCCACCTTTGCACTACAATTCTGCACCCTGGCTTCCATTGTTTCACTTAAAATAAATACCTCAAATTTATCGTGAACTCTGCCTTTGATCTGGGCTCCATGGCTTTGTAACCGGTAATCGTAGATACATTGCCTTTGAATATTGACTCAGTATTTTGCCTAGCGCTGCTGATGATGGTG